TCTGCAGAGTTTTCACCCAGATTTCTGGAACCGTGCAGTTGTCCTAGTCCCCAGTGGTCAGCCCTCAGCCAACTCCCTCTGCAGAGTTTTTACCTAGATTGCTGGAGACGTGCAGTTGTCTTCATCCCTGTGTTCTGAGGTATCTGTGGTTGCAGTGCCTCTGGCTCCAGCTCAGGGCGATTGTATCCTTGGTGGGTGGGCGCCCCTGCTGCAGGCTGTGCCCTCCACAGGGGTCGCTCACAACAGCACTTCCGGGTGTGTTCCCGACTCATTTGAGTTGGTTGGTGTAATTGTGTGGGGACTTGGCTGTTTTGCAGATGTAACTCACGAGGTGCTTTTGGTATTAGAAGAAGTGATGACAAAGTCCACTTTCATATTAGAAATCATGTCACCCTATTGGGAAATTGCAGTGACCACGTTCAAGGCACACAGGTAACCGCTGGGTATGTTAGTGGTTTCTGGGGGGCAGCCAGCCCTTCTCAGTACCTGTGCCTCCCATGCTTTGCTACAGAAGAGATGGGGCTGACTTGAGAGGACCCGAGTGTGAAATACCCTCATGCATTTGTTTATGAAATAGCTGTTATTGTGTTCTAAACATTGTATGTCATCTTTTTGGTACAGGGGATTCAACTGTTTTTTAGAAGCCACTTTAATATGTTTTTGAGTGCTGCGAATAGTGTTAGTGATGAGATAAAGACAGGTGGCTTTGCCTCATGCTGTGTCTGCCCCCACAAGAGCAGACCCCACAAGGGCACATCCTGTGTGTGATGATCAGCAGGTGGGATGAGTTGGTCCTTGGTCCTTACTGGGGACATTTCCCTGACATGTTCACTTTTAAACTTTGAAAACCCACTAAAATTCTAGTATGAGTTTTTTAAAGAACTGATGAAATTAGTCAGGCTGGTCTTTGGCGTTCTATTCTATTGAGACTACTAAGAATGGTTCATCAAACATTAAAATGCTGGAGGAGATGGCCAGGTGTGGTGGCTGACGCCTGCAATCCTAGCACTCTGGGAGGCCAAGGCAGGCAGATCACCTGAGCTAGAGTTCAAGACCAGCCTGAACCCATCTCTGGAAAATAGCCGGGCATTGTGGTCCTAGCTACTTGGGAGGTTGAGGCAAGAGAATCACTTGAGTCCAGGAGTTTGAGGTTGCTGTGAGCTGTGACGCCACTGCACTCTACTGAGGGCGACAAAGTGAGACTGTCTTAAAAAACAAAACAAAACAAACAAACAAAAACACTAGAAACCATTTTAAAATTACTAGTTAGGAAACTTTAATCCTGTTTTTGTTTCCTGTTAGCAAATAAATCCCTTTTTCCTTCTGTCCAACATCAGCTACCTAGGCTGCAGCAGGTTTGATGCTGGTGCCAATGTTTGTTTCTGAAATGTGGAGTTTTGTCATTTCCCTCCCATGTCACAGGTTTGCTGACTGTGCCATGTTGTTACTGACACAACTGGAGACTGGACTCAGGAGAGTTTTCACCACAGTTAACAAATGTCCACAGAGACTCCTGACTGCTGAGGTACAGCTGCTCTTCTTGTGATCGTCATTGCAGTGTTAACAGTTTCCAGTGACAAACTCAGTTTTAAAAATTTATTTGCTGTTGAAATTAACTTTATCTAAGAACTTTAGAAGCCTTCTATCATTTTTGGAGGGCTTCCTATTATAATTTTTTAGGATTTATATTGATAGCTCTATAATAATTTCAAAGTAGTCTTTAAACTTATACCATCAAAGTACTGAGCACTGTTTTTAAAAACTAACTTCAGGATATTATAGGAGTACATATGTTTGGGGTACCTAATTTGCTTTTGTATACTTCAGGTGAAAGTTAAGTGTCCCTCACCCAGAATGGGCATTGTACCTGCTAGGTGTGAACTGGCCCAACCCTCCTCTCCCTCCTGCCTGCTCCTGTTGATTTCTGCTTCCCTGTGTGCACGGAGATGCTGCAGGACTAGTCTTCAAGCACCAGCCATGGTGGTGGACACTGCCCTGTGTGTGATGGATGTTAGCAAGTGGGAGTCCACAGTGCGTCACCCTTAGGGCAGTGTGAAAGATCAGGAAGAACTGGGTTGAAACTGACCTTGGGAAAGTAACCAAAGCCCTCTGAGCTTAAAAATGGGATGTAATGCCTTTCTGAGAAGTTGCAGGATTTACAGATGACTTAAGGTTCCTGCCACACAGGGGAGCTTTTCATCACATGGTCAGGTTCCCACGTGGCCCCAGTTCCCCTGAGGCAAGTGTCAGTTTCCTACCTGCCCGCCCAGCTCCTAGAATCATGTTGCTGCCCCTTTGTGACGACCCTGACCAGATTCTGCTGCTACCAGCAGGTCTCAAAACAAAATGACTGGGGTGAGTTCAATGGGACAGTGACTGTTTCTGCCTCATTAGAGTGAGGTAGCAGCACCCGTCCACAGCATTGGGCCCTCCCTGCCTGTGTTGTCTTGTGCTGATGCCATCACGCCTGCCTCTGAGGGCCACCTCATCATCTCCCCACTTACCCGAGCTCCCCCCTGCACAAACACACAATTGTTTTCCCAGGGCATGTGACTTCTAAATACATTTTAGCTCAGGCTTTTATGCAGAATAGGATCAATGTGTAAGGTAACATTCATGTGAAAATACTTTATAAAACTTATCAAATGCTGTGCAAATGTTATTTACTAAATTCTCAATAGCATAAAGCCCAAGATAATAGAAAATATGAATATTGCTAAGACTTACTGACTTTGAAGAAGCTTATAGGGGAGAGAAGACAAACTAATTGCATAGAACACGGTAGAAATTGGCACATATATTTTATGGAGATAACTGAAATTCAGCTTTTTGGAAAAAGTGGTTGGCAATTTGATACTTAGAACATCTCAGGAAGGATTTGAGGGCTGTCACTAAGGTTTGAGAACTAAAGATAGATTAGTTTTAGAGATAGATTTTAGAGTCTTCCACAGAGTAATGTTGGACAACGTAGTACTAGATTATTAAGCACTAATTTGAGAGCTAGCTTACATGAAGTACTAATTTCATCGTATGTGCAAAACAGCGTTGAATTCCCCCAGATGCCTTTTGAGATAGGTGTAGTCATGTCCTGTTCACAGGGAAGCCTCAATCTGGTGTGAAATACCAGGACCCCACCACTAGAAAAATGCTAAAGTTAGGACCAGGCTCTGAGGCAGCCCTGTCTGCAGACTGCATGATCATACCAAGAAGCATATGAAGCATTTTTAAGAAGTGAAGGCCATTAGAGAAACTGTTAAATCATACTC